TAATTAAACAAAAAGGTACTCTTTAATTTTAATTTGCATTCTGAAAAAGTAACTTTTGGATATTTTGTGATAATTTGAATAGCAAAGTTTTTGTAATTAACCCATTTATATAGTTAATTAAGTTTCAAATTCATAAGTGTAAATTTTCCAAAAAAAAAAAAAAAAAATTATATATATATATATTTATTTATTTATTTACCAGGAACTGAAAAATCACTTTTGTACTATTCAGAATATTGCTAATAGAAAGCCATTAAAACTGCCCATTTGTGCTCTAGTTTAAACATTTTTGATTAATGTAATGGTCCTGCTTGTTTATAATTGTACGAATTTTAGTTAAATACTTATACTGCTGGTTTTTGTGATTGTTTTATTTTTATTTATTTTTTGTGCTGTTGTTATTATTTACTTTCCATCACCCTATATAATATTAAAATATTTTGTTTACAATATTGTCATGTATCTGTTGTTTAAAGAGTAATAATTTTTTTTTAAAAACACTACTGTACAACAATCCACAAATAAGTGTGATAAAATTCGGGTTTACAATTAATCACAAAATGGGTAAAATGCTGTGACTTGACCAAAGGCACGGTGGTTAAACAAACAAAAAAAAATTAATAAAAATAATCAACGATTAAACAGTTGGTGTATTAAAATCTATATGATACCTGATATCTAAACAATTTCAATAACACCTAAATAAATAGTTATGTATTAGATTTTCGACCCGTTTGGAGGTAAATGAATTTCTTCACTGTTTATTTGACACAAAAATCTCAAAGTATAAGTTTTATTTATCTAAATAGTAGAAACATGCTTTAAACCGTTAATTTCCCCAAGTTAACGAACTTTTGATAAGTTTGAGGGCGTACCCTGCCCCCTCCAAACAAAGCCTCACAAGTTTACTACAACAAACAAACAAACATTCTCCCAAAAATACATCTTAAAGAAATACCTCAACATTTCTGAATGGACATTTAACTTTTCAGCGTAATGGTGGACTTTAATTACAATTTAAACGCCGCAAAACCGTTCATTCAAACACTCATTCAAAAACAATCCAAGATTACGTTAATAGACGAGAACAGTTAAAATAAGGTCATAAAAAATGGCGTACGCCTTACTGTACCTTTGAACGCATTGTTGCAGATGGTTGTTGTTACTGAGAGTGTTTGAGTTTACACTAAGCCCGAGTCCTCCGTGAATGTGCGAGTGTTCCAATCCTGTGCAGCAGAGTTTACTCTGGAAGTTGGCGGGTAATTCTTGAAGGGGCGTGACTGCCTTCCGCGCCACACGACAGTCCTGGAAGCTGATTAAAACTAATAAAGTAACTTCATCTTATAGGTTGAAGATACAAGAGCTGTGTTCTTCTTTTAATTACGAACTTAACACACACATGTTTAAAGTTTAACACTAGAAGCCTGGGGGTATTCGAATAAAGATGAATAAAATGTTTCTGTTTGAAATCACATTGAGCTTACAGGATCGTCTGCCGTGGCGCCAAAGGTCAGAGCTCATTTGCAAGGGCTTGCCACAAACCGCGCGAAATGCAGACTAGATGAAACAAGCAAGGCATTCCTTCAGGGTTTACATTTTATTAATATATTATAAACTGACAAACTTTAAATTTCCACCATCATAATAATAATAAATACATGTTTAATATCATATAAATGAAGTATTTCTTTCTAATAAAATATAACAATAACCAAATGTGTCTTGCAGACATACAGTATAAACAGTCCTCAATTTTCATTGAAGCAATCAGCATAATTCCAATAAGAAACACCTCAAAAAGAAACATTGAAATCATAAAAGAAAAGAAAAATTCAAGTTCAATCCTGGAAAGGGAATAACTTCACCAAAAATGTCCTTTTTTTTTAGAACAGGCATAATAATGAAGACTTTTTAGTCAGTATATCTATTTGACGATGAATGTTTGCCCTTTACCAGTGTCAGTTTATAAGATGCATATATTTAATTTGAATGTACTTACAGTACACTGATAAACTCCTAGTTACAGCTAGGAATAGTGCTTTGGTCAAAAACAATTCTCTTTAGTCTAACCCTCCATCAACCCTTACTTTAAGAACAAAACACAACAGTCGGATTCTGGAAGCAAACAAAGACTTCATTCATTTTCTCCATAGGGAAAGTGATATTTTAGTAACTGATAGACCCTAAAACAGTGTTTCTCAACTGGTGGGAACATTTTCAGTGGGTCGCGGAGTGTGTGGTCAAAAACAAACAACAAAAGTAAAAATTTGTACTTGTTTTACTTATACCGGACTTTTATTTTGTAATGCGTGTGCGACAACCCTACCGTTTGACATGTGAAATTTCATTTAATTGTTGCAACAAATTTGCCGAATCGCAAGTACGACCCCGAATATGTAAAGTATGAATATATATATTGACAACAAAAAAGACTTAAAGCCTCAGTGTGATATGTAGTGAGGTGCTCTCATAAGAGAGCATGAAACCTTCTAAATTAAAACAACATTTAAAAACCAGAAAACATGTTTTATTAACAGTTTATTATTAACAGTATTTGTCGTGTTTACTTTGTAATATTTCTATAATTTGATCCATTTTGTTAAAAGACAGCAATAAAATATTGTTTATTTGTAAGTCTTGGTAAATTTCTTATGATGTATGGGTCACCACTTGTTTATGTTAACAAATAAATACAAATTAATTATAATTCCTAAAATTGTATTATAGTTTCTATAAATTTGGGTCGGGGCTTGATGACCATGTAAAAATGTGAGTCCCATGGCTAAACCAGTTGAGAACCCCTGCCCTAAAAGACACACCGTTGTTGTGAATGTTATAATTTTACAATACCTAATAATATTAAAATAACTAAAAATATGTTGTCAAGTATGATTGGCTCATCCCCCAATGAGGGGGTAGGTTTAGGGGTGGGGTTTGGGAGCACACATCATTTTAAAATTTCTATGCTAATTTTCAAACAATATGTACAGTATAATAAGTTACGTTTCAATGCAACCCCATGGCAATTCGTAACTTATTCACATATGTTGCATTTAAAGGTGCTGTTTTTAAGTTTTTGACTCTTCTAAAGCATAAAAATACCATAATATGTTTGCAGATATTTAAGAAACATGCTAAGTGGACATTCTTGTTTATCTGAACGCTGAAGTCAGATATTCTGCTCTGAAAATGTGAGTTACGTGCCAGAAAGTCTGTCTTTGTTTTGGTCATTTAACCCGTCCAATGCCAGTTTAGCCAATTACATTTCTACACCCCAGGTTGCCTGGAAAACAGTGTATTTCATTCATTCAATCATGAAGGCTCCCAAAGTATGCGTCTGTCACCGAAATGCGACCCCTGGTGGACAGTAGCAGCCTCCAAAATGAGACACAGATTCAGAGTTCCACATGAGGTGGTTACTAATTAGCAAATACTATAAATATTATGAATGTAAACATTAGGTGAGCAGGTTATATTGTAACCACATGTCCTAACAACATGCTACGTGACGAGATTTGCAGTGATAAGCAATTTGGCTATTTGCACCAGACGAAACAGGAAAGAAATTTAAATACAGCCATTCAGAAGCACAGGTCTACAACACCTACACCAACCCTAAACCCAACCCACTCGTGTTGTAAGTCCCTCCCAATTGGGAGGGATTATACCGCAAGTAAGTTGGGCGACCTCCAAGTGGGAGGGACTTACACCACTAGTGGGCTGGGTTTAGATGGTGTAGGTAGAATAGACATTAATAAAACCCATCAGGTTACTGTGAGGTTGGTTTTAGGGTTGGGGTAGGTGTAGACGTTAATAAAACACATCAGGATACTGTGAGGTTGGGTTTAGGTGGTGTAGGTAGAATAGACATTAATAAAACACATCAGGTTACTGTGAGGTTGGGTTTAGGTTTGGGGTAAGTGTAGGCTAGTGCTGCGTGGATAGTGGTTATATCCGCGGGCTCTGCAGATAATCTGCGGGTCGGGTGGGTCGGGTTATAAAAAATAGATTATGATTAGTTGCGGGTTGGTTGCGGGTAAATGTAGCGGGGACATGGCAGTGGACCAGCGAAAAAGCAGAGAGTGGGCTTTGCTGAATGGGAAGATGAGACGTCCAAAATAATGGATGAAGTGGAAGAGTAGTCTACTGATCAAAGTTTCAGTTAGAGGAGTCATCAGAGGAAAATCTGCCATCGTTCTAGGTTAGAAACAAGATCGCTTATTTCCACGACTGCAGCGCCTTGCGAGGAAAATCTTGTACATTCCTACAACAAGCGGTGCAAGCGAACGCTCATTCAGTGCAGCTGGCCGCGTTATAGAGGCGAGGCGGAATCATCCGAATCCAGGCACAATAGATGCTGTTCTGTTTTTACACAGTGCGAAGAAAAAGGCTAAGGGTGCTTTCACACCTGTGAATCGATTCAGTTGTTCCGAAACAGAGATTAAAATTGTTACATTGTTGCTCTTTGCTCTTGGAGCGGTTCGCTTTCACACTGCAAAGTTTCTAATCGGACTAAAAGAGCTAAAACAAGTCACGTGTGAGTAAACTCTCCTTACATTGGTCAGAGTGTCAGGGTTTATTTTGCAGCGTCCCGCTCAGCTGTCAGGAGAGGTGGTGGTTTGGTGGTGATTGACAGGGTGCGCGTGACATGTCTGAGGAGAGACACGGTGGGGAGGGGTGAGAAGGGTGCGCGACGATGCCTATTTGAGGACTAGGAGAGTAACGCGAGATTACCGGGAGATCATCACTCGTTTGCGGGCATCCGGAGACTCGCGAAACTTCCCGCCCTACTCATAATTCTCTCTTCATGTAGCCGTAAGCATATTACATATCCATAAAACACTGTGATATAACCGCGCTCGGATCGGATCGCTTTCTCACTGCAATCAAACCGCTCCAGGGTTCGTTTCAATCGAGCCGAGACCACCTCACTCAAGCGATCTCGGAGCGATTACTTTGGCGCGGAACAGAGTGCGATTGCCCTGTTCACATATGCCAATCGAACCGCGCTAACTGGGCAAACGAGATACGTTCCGAAACAAAAGTGTAGGTGTGAAAGCACCCTAAGTAAACACTACATAGCTGCCGTTTAGGCTGAAGTGGCATCCTTTTTGTTATCTTGTTCCTGTATCTGTAAAAGCTAAAATGTCTTATTTTTACTTTCTCTATTCAAAAATGAAGAAAATGTTGTCAAAAAACAAACTTCTGTTTTTATAAATAAATACTTAAAAAACGTTTAAGCTTAACATATTATTTCCTATCAGAGATGCGCAGATTATAGCTCACCCAATCTGCTGTTAATATCCACGGTGACCCATCATCATGCCTTAAACAAAGAATTAAATTATTCAAGTGATGATCGGGTGCGGGTCGGGTGCGGATACATATATCAGATAAAACAATATGTGCGGGCGGGTGGATGATTTGTATGAAGCCGCGAATTCAGGTGTCATTTCAGCTGATCCGCGCATCTCTAGTGTAGACATTAATGAAACACATCAGGTTACTCTGAGGTTGGGTTTAGGGTAGGGGTAGGTGTAGATGTTAAAAGGCAGCAGGTAACTGTGAGGTTGGGTTTAGGGTCGGGGTAGGTGCAGACATTCATAAAGTACAATATTGGACTCTGTGTCATGTACGAGACAATAAATAAATGCAAACTCCAGGATTGTACAGCCTACTTGGAGCTCAAGTCCCACCCGCTTGGAGCTGGCTTCAACCTCTGTTTATACCCTCTCACTTGGAGGATGCAGCCAGCGATACCTACTTGGTTTGGTTTGGTTCAAGGCTTAATTACGAGACAGTAGTAAAAAATCCCTATGGGAAAATGAATGGGAAAAACACTTCCAGAACCACTGCTGCAGAAATAAAGGCAAGTTCTAAAGCACAAAAGACATTCAGTTACGCCCCCGTCCACCGCCTCTCCCACCTCTACGCGACCGACCTCTGACCGGCCTCACTTCCTGATATTTACACTCCTGTTTGTTTGTCTTTTTCCTCTCTACTTTAATCCAGTCCCCATCCCCTGGTTCCTCAGACGCCACTTTCTGCTTCGGCCCTTCAGCGGCCATTGACATCCCCGGTATGGGCCTTTGGTAGTGCGGTGGCGTTGCGTATGAGTGTGCGTTTCGTGGTCGTCCAGCATGTTGGAAGCCTCTAGATCCTCTCTGCGGCAGAAACCTCCTGGGTTCTCCATCTCCTCTACTGCTCATCTTCAGTGTGTGGTGATCGTAGTAGGGTTTTTTGTTGTAGTTGTGTTTGGCTCCAGCGCTCGGGGGCCGCTCGCGTTCGGATGCGCTCTCGGAGGTGGTGCTGGACGGACTGCTGCCTTTGGAGCCCAGGTGCATGTTGGAGAGTTTGACGGAGAGAGTTGGAGAGGAGCTGCGGGAGTCGGTCCAGGGACTGAGAGGACTGCGGTTTGGAGATCTTCTTACAGCTGCCGCATATGAAGACTGGTTGCTGATGACGGACAGGAACTGAGGGAGGCTCATTTTGCTGGGGGACTCCTGGGCCGCCTGCTCTTTCATCTGCTTCATTCTCAGACTGTAAATCCATTTGGGATCCACACCTGATTGATAGACACAGAGTGGCAAGATGTAAGTCAAGTCAGCTTTGATTGTATACACTGTAAAAAGCGGACAGTTGGCTTTACTTTGAAAAAGAGAGTAAACACTATGCCTTAAGACAGGGTTCCCAAACTTTCACGAACAGCAGATTTAAGGACTATTTATTAAAGCACCATTCCTTTTTAATCAAGCACCTTTGTAATTCATACCCTAGCATGTGTAGTTTCATGAAAGTCCGCAACAAAATGCATGCTACTTCTTTATTTATTACTGTCCTTAGTAAAATATTTGACATAAGATGTTTACCTATAGTCTACAACACAATAAATATATCTGAAATTATTAAAATAACAGGGAAATCAATGGAATATACAGTTGAAGTCAGAATTAATAGCCCCTTTAAGCTATTTGTTTTCAATAGTCTATAGAACAAATTATTGTTATACAATAACTTGCCTAATTACCCTAACCTGCCTAGTTAACCTAATTAACCTAGTGAAGCCTTTAAATGACACTTAAGAGCTGTATAGAAGTGTCTTGAAAAATACCAGTCAAATATTATTTACTGTCATCGTGACAAAGATAAAATAAATCAGTTATTAGAGATGAATTATTAAAACTATTATGGTTAGAAATGTGCTGAAGAAATCGTTTCTCTGTTAAACAGAAATTGGGGAAAAAAATAAACAGGGTGCTAATAATTCAGGGGAGTTAATAATAATTCTGACTTCAACTGTGTGTGTGTGTGTGTGTGTGTGTGTGTGTGTGTGTATGTATGTATGTACTGTATATATATATATATATATATATATATATATATATATATATATATATATATATATATATATATACATATATACAGTATATACATACATACACACAAAAAGGGTACAATATTGTAGTTAATAAATACAATATTAATAATATTAATAAAGAATTGTAACAAAATTTTTACAACATGATGTCATAATAATCATTAATAAATATGTCATCATGTTCTTTATTAAGACTACAATATTATACCCTCTTTGTGAATAGGTTATATATACATCTAAATATAATATATAGGTAAAAGGATTTTGCACACAAAAGGTATAAAAACCCAAAAGATAATTTATAGAAAATAAGATAACAAATGAGTAAACTTTGCATTCATTGTGCATTAAATGAGGTATAAAAACAAGTAAATTAGCAAAACTGTATTAAAATTAGTATATTGTGTATTGGGTGTACAAACAACACATTAGTATATTAGCGAATTAGTAAATTGAGCATTTGCCGTGCATGAAATGAGGTGACAAATTAGCAGAATGTAGGTTTGTTGTTCATAAAATGATGTACAGAATGAATAAATGTTGCATACAATGTTCTCAAAACATAAAATGAGGTGACAAATGAGTCAACTGTGCATGCAAAGTACGTAAAACAGTGTAACTAATTAGTTAACCAATGTGTGGAAAAAACAATGTAAACTGTTAAAAGTAATAATGAGATCATTTTTGATTTGTCGTGTGTTCAGCTCCGAAAAATGGAATTAAAAAAGTATAAAAAATTACATTTATCAAAATAAAAATGCTTACTGAAACTAAAACTGCAACCTAATAAATAAATACATTAATGCCATGTCATCAGCACTGCAATTTTTGCAACATTACACTACTACACATAGGAAGTATTTCAAAACAATAATACAATTTTCCATCCCGCAATTAACTTGTTGAGCATGACAAACACAGTCAACATGTGTTTGCGCAAAAAAGGGAGCACAAGCAACGAAATTATTTGAGTTTCTTCCTGGAATAATAGTCTTAATAATTTGAAGATAATTCTCTGCAGTACCTGAGTTGGACCTGCTCCTGTTGTGCGCCTCCCTGATGCCCGGCGCCGTCTCGATGACCAGCTCCACAGGTTTGATCACGTCTTTTCCGCTGTCTGCACTCCACTGCACTGTGTGAACGTGTCTTGTACACTTCGGAGATTTCACGTTACCCTGCGACAAACACAGCACCGGCTGAACACACTCCCAGGCCACTTAAAACACTGCATTTAAATACTTAAATATACAGTATATACCATATCCATAAATATACCATACCATAAACACTGCATTGCAATATTTAAATATACAGAATATACAATATCAATTTGACACTATATAGAAAGCTACATGCAATAAGGTTATATATAAATATATATATATATATATATATATATATACATATATAAAGTGTTATTTCATATTACCTGTAGTGTTTTGTCTAGTACTCACCTCATAGTTCACTATGTAGTCAACAGTATGTGTGCCAGATATTCCCACTATCCATTTATCCATCACGAAAGGAGGCTGAAGAGGAATTAAGATTTTACCACACACAGTAAAAACACAACATGAGGATTTTTATATTCATGACATTTATAACTACACTGTAAATAATCTCTATTAATGGACAGTTTCTGTATTTTGTGATTTACAAGTGCGTATTTACGGTTGTGAATTGCATTACAGGATGTTGATCTCTGCTCTGTTGAATTTTAATGTTGAAAAATCAACTCTACAGTTAAACAAAGTGACTTTTATTGACATTTTAGTAGTTTGAAATAATATAATGTATAAGACATACTGTAATATATAAAGAAATAAGTCTGTAAAATAACAGAAAATGCACTGCAGCTTATTACAAGGCTTTTGTAGCATAATATATAACACCAACCCGGACAATATATCACTTTAAAGTATTTAAAAATGCCAATAAACGTCACTTTTGTGAACTTTTCAAGCTTAAAAGTTGTTGGAAGAAAGATCAAGGGCCCATAATGCAATTCATAAGCATAAATAAACCGGGGGAAAATAAACAAAACACAGTACACGGTCGCTGGATCAAACACCCAGCTATTAGACCTCAGGAAACAAACTGAGTCAATGTCCGTTCTCCTGCGTTCCTCAAAACATAATGGAGGCATCTGTTCATGGTCTCCCACCTTGGTCATCTTTAAAACATCTACATCTGGTCTGTTGGCGTTAAAGGTCACGTCTTTGATGTACGCTATCGCCACCTCGTCCCCGTCCAGCTCCATGTACATTTTCCATTTGCAGTCCTGCAGAGGTCAGAGAGACACAGATGAGGGGCAAAGCAGGCATATGTGCTCGTAATCATGGAGAATGTTGTGTCTTCAGCTGTTATAATGACCCAACAGCACAACCTAGAGGACAACAGTCGTCTCAACATTTAAAATCTCACAATTTGATCTTAGCACTGAGAGTACAGTAAAAGCTGTTAGCTTAGCATTTTCTCTTCATTAGCTTTAAAGACAAACCTTTACTAAAAAAATAGACACGTCTTAAAGCGATATTCACCCAAAAAACTTTATTCTGCCATCATTTACTCAATCTTTCCATTTTAAATCTCACAAAAAAGTTTCATCTTAGCACGAAGAGTTCTGCTAAATAAACTGTAAAAACTGTTAGCTTAGCATTTTCTCTTAATAAGCTGCTAAGACAAACCTTTACTAAAGAATAGAGAGGATGTCTTTAAGGGATAGTTCACCCAAAAATTGTATTCTGCCATTTTTACTTAATCTTTCCATTTTAAATCTCACAAAACATTTGATGTTAGCACTGTAAGTTCTTCTAAATAAAGTAAACATTGTTAGCTTAGCACTTTATCTCTTAATGAAGACAAACCTTTACTAAAAAAATAAAGAAGGGGAGAGTTCATCCCAAATAAAAAACTCTGCCATTATTTACTCAACCTTTCTATTTAAAATCTCACAAACACGTTTGATCTTAGCACTGTGAGTTCTGCTTAAAAACAGTCATTGTGGTTAGCTTACCCTGCTGAAAAATCCAGCTTAATTCAGCCTAGGCTGGATTAAGCTGGATTTTTCAGCAGGGCAGCAAATAATAACTTGACTTCTTGTTGATCATTTGGTTTCAGAAGTGGCTTATATGAAAAACAAAGGCCTCTAGATCATGCTTGTTTGACCAAAATAAAATATGATCATGCCTTGATTTTTAATGATTTCATTAGGACAGTAAGGTCTGACTTTGCTTAGACTAAAGTCTTGTCACTGAACAGAAATAATGTCCAGTATAGAATTTGTAATGTAATGGGCAGCACAAATGTCTTGACACCTCAGGCTGGTGATGTTGCAGACCTCTCGCACGCCCCCATACTGAATGTAACCCCAAACCATGATTTTCCTTCACCAAACTTGACTGATTTCTGTGAGAGTCTTGAGTCCATGCGGGTTCCAGTAGGTCTTCTGCAGTATTTGTGATGATTGGGATGCAGATCAACAGATGATTCAAGGGAAAAATCCACCTTCTGCCACTTTTCCAAATGATCAACTAGAAGACAAGTTATTATTTGTTGCTCTTACAACTGGGATCGACGACAAGACTTTCGTCCTGTCGTGTATAACTTCAAGTCATAGCGTCTAATATGTATTGATTTGTGTAAGAAAACAAATACAGCACCTATCAAAATTCTGAGTCACAATAACTTTAAAAGTCACAGTGTCTAATATGCTACCAAGAAAGAGGGCGACCATGTGAGAGTTGCAGAGAGCTAGCTGCCGGCAATATTGCTGCTGTTAGACAACATAATGTACTTTTAAAGCTTTTTTAGGCAAGAATGTAGCTAATTAGATTGCAACTTTGCAGTTTATTTATAAGGAGAGCGTCTATTTTAAAATATTTATAATTTCGGAGCATCGGATTCAGTGCATCGGCCGCCATCAGTCTGTCTGAGCAGACCAAAGAAAGTGACGGTTAACGTTCCACCACAAGATGGCATCAAGAGACCGCATAAAAAGTCCTCAGGTAAGAAAAACAGCATTTTCTCAGAGTGTGTTTTAAACTACAGCTGAACAAATCATTATAGAACAGGAAAGTGACATTCTAAGTCGATCTCTCTTTTGTATTTTGTAGTGCTGTGTGTATGCCACAGAAACTGGTAGTGTTTGCTTTGCTTTGGCCTTTTTGGGGTTAATTACTGTGATACAACAGAGAAAAACTGGGAAATCTCTGTAGACTGATGGCATTTCATGCCGTTCAGCGTTATAATCTTAAAACATGAGCAAAAATCAGCTGCTTTGTCATCACTTTAGAAATTACGCTAGAGAATCATTCAAACACTAGTTTTAAAGTGACGTTGGTGAATTAGTAGCGGTTCCTGCTGTTCTGACGTCAGCTGCAGATAAAAGCAAATATTTCCCTGATTTCTGATTTTTTTAACTTAATTTGATATTAAATGTTTTATTTTAAATCCACTTCAATTTGTAAAAAACAATGAAGTTAACTTAATTGATTTGTGTAAGAAAACAAATACAGCACCTATAAAAATTCGGAGTCACAATAACTTTAAAAGTCACAGTCTAATATGCTACCAAGAAAGTGGGCGACCATGTGAAAGTTGTAGAGAGCTAGCTGCCGTCAATATTGCTGCTGTTGGACAACATAATGTACTTTTAAAGCTTTTTTAGGCAAGAATGTAGCTAATTAGATTGCGAATATGCAGTTTATTTATAAGGAGAGCGTCTATTTTAAAATATTTATAATTTCGGAGCATTGGATTCAGTGCATTGGCCACCATCTTTTTGGGGTTAATTATTGTGATACAACAGAGAAAAACAGGGAAATCTCTGTAGACTGATGGCATTTCATGCCGTTCAGCGTTATAATCTTAAAATGTGAGCAAAAATCAGCTGTTTTGTCATCACTTTAGACATTACGCTAGAGAATCATAAAAACACTAGTTTTAAAGTGACGTTGGTGAATTAGTAGCGGTTCCTGCTGTTCTGACGTCAGCTGCAGATAAAAGCAAATATTTCCCTGATTTCTGATTTTTTAAACTTAATTTGATATTAAATGTTTTATTTTAAATCCACTTCAATTTGTAAAAAACAATGACGTTAACTTAATTGATTTGTGTAAGAAAACAAATACAGCACCTATAAAAATTCGGAGTCACAATAACTTTAAAAGTCACAGTGTCTAATATGCTACCAAGAAAGAGGGCGACCATGTGAGAGTTGTAGAGAGCTAGCTGCCGGCAATATTGCTGCTGTTGGACAACATAATGTACTTTTAAAGCTTTTTTAGGCAAGAATGTAGCTAATTAGATTGCGAATATGCAGTTTATTTTTAAGGATAGTGTCTATTTTAAAATATTTATAATTTTGGAGTATCGGATTCAGTGCATCGGCCGCCATCTTTTTGGGGTTAATTATTGTGATCCAACAGAGAAAAACAGGGAAATCTCTGTAGACTGATGGCATTTCATGCCGTTCAGCGTTATAATCTTAAAATGTGAGTGAATCAGCTGTTTTGTCATCACTTTAGACATTACGCTAGAGAATCATTCAAACACTAGCTCTAAAGTGACGTTGGTGAATTAGTAGCGGTTCCTGCTGTTCTGACGTCAACTGCAGAAAAAAGCAAATATTTCCCTGATTTCTGATTTTTTAAACTTAATTTTATATTAATTTTATATTAAAAGTTTTATATTAAATCCACTTAAAATTGTAAAAAACAATGAAGTTAACTTAATTGATTTGGGTAAGAAAACAAATTTAGCACCTATAAAAATGCTGAGTCACTATAACTTTAAAAGTCACAGTGTCTAGTTCATTCATTCATTCATTCATTAATTTTCTTGTCGGCTTAGTCCCTTTAATAATCCAGGGTCGCCACAGCGGAATTAACCGCCAACTTATCCAGCAAGTTTTTACGCAGTGGATGCCCTTCAAGCCGCAACCCATCTCTGGGAAACATCCACACACACATTCACACACACACTATGGACAATTTAGCCTACCTAATTCACCTGTACCGCATGTCTTTGGACTGTGGGGGAAACCGGAGCACCCGGAGGAAACCCACATGAAGGCAGGGAGAACATGCAAACTTCACACAGAAACGTCAACTGAGCAGAGGTTCGAACCAGCGACCTTCTTGCTGTGAGGCGACAGCACTATCTACTGCGCCACTGCCTCGCCCCACAGTGCCTAATATGCTACCGAAAAGAAAAAAAAAGTTCCCATCAATCCCTGGTTTCAGACTTTGTCTTGCTGTAAATCTGTGCGGCACCGTAAGGTGTGGCGTGTGAATGCAAACATCCCTGAGGAAGCGTGAGAATAAATCATTCCAGCATTCATTCACACACACAGACACACACACACTCCGGTTTCTAGGCCAGAATGATGTGCTGAGACGAGATCAGAGTGCAGGAAAGCGTCCGTGTTCGTTTCTCAGCCATAACAAGAGCGAGAGACCCGAACATCCATTCTCCTTCGCATTAGCAATGGAGATGAGCCCCCCTGTACCGAGAGGCCAGGCTAGAGCGGTAATGATCCGTCCAATCTGCCATCCCGGTGCTGAGGTCAAAGGCAACAGCTTAAAGCACGTGCTCATTCCCGCCACACACACACACACTCACGCTAGGAGCAGAGCAAGCACGTGTGTGTTTGTTTCTGGACGGGGCTTAAAGCGTTGACCGAGCGTTTGCCAAACGTTAGCCGTTCTCTAATAGCAGCCGCAGAAACAATGTGCGGTAATGACGGCCAGCGTGGTAAGCGTCTAATGACACCTCATACATAATTCAGCACCTTTTCCGGCGACTAAGCCCTGATATCCTCATTAACAGAAACACTCGGTGCTGTCAGATGGGCAAAAGCACAATCGCAGGGTCTCATTTAGGCTTTGAGAAGTGCAGCTGGTACCACGACACCGCCAGGAACGAGAGAGAGAGAGAGCGTAAAAGACGAGAGAAAAAAAAAACCTTGAGCAGAGCGGGTTTGTTTTATTTAGTGCAAAAAAAAGCTTGCAGTTTGTAAAAACAAGGCTGACACGGAGGCTGACACCAGGCAGGGGAAAATAATTAGCTCTCATTTTCTCAGACTCCTGTTTCCTTCTTCCCGCTGAGCTTCCTCCCAACCAAACCACCACATGTCAGGAGAAATAGGAGGCAATTAGCGGCCCCGCTTCAGCCCCGCCGCACGCCTTGAAAGGGGACTTTTTATGATGGGACAATGAACAGCTGAAAGATTAAATAACATTTGCCTTTTAAAAAGAAAATGACTTCTGGCTAAATTTTTTTGATTAAATTCAAAGGGAAAAGTGAAGAAGCAGTCGCTCTCTTGTGTCAGGGGCCTAAACAAAGGCTCGCCGGCAAGAGGGGGTGGATGCGACGCGTCGCTCCAGATGAAAAAAAAATATTATTTATCTCTTCTCTTTCTATTTTTTTTGAGAGAACAAAAACAAGAGGCTTGGGAAGCAAAAAATGCGAGACGGTGGTCAGTCGTCGGAGGCGTCGTTTACTCTAAGAAGACAACTTCAAATCAAGGAGCGCTGCAATTGCTGCAGCAAAAAAAAACAAAAAAAACGTCTCGGGCATGACAAGGCATCACATCGCTGACAAAAGCCCCCTGTTAGCATGGGAAGTGAAGCAGGAATACTGATGCAGAAATAATGACAGCAAATCACAAATAAATCAGAGAGTTCACACACGCTAAAGAGAGCCCCAATATTCAGATTAATAATCAAGAATATTACTGCTGAGGAATGCTAATACTTTTTTTTTAAGTGATCAGACATGAGTTAAAACATTTTACAATTTGTGTTTAAATGAATGAAAGGCCATCATCTTCTAGAAAAAAAACTCATTTAACCCCTTCATGTTGTATATATAGTAATAATAAATTTCGATCGAAATTTATGCTCAACTTCGATTATCGAATCAAAAAATAGAATCGTCGATGCTGCCACGCCCCCATGTCACGTCAGCTTGGCTTGCCAAGCAGGAAAAAAACAGGCTTGTTGAAGAGCTTGTTAAACTGCAGAAGCAGGAGACCCGTCGACAGAGCTTAAACCCTCTCCTCTTTCAATGAAGTCGCCAGTGTGTAAGCATTTTGGATTTCCAGTGAGTTATGTTGACAACGTTCGTGTTGTCGACAAAAAAAAAACACAGTTTGCAAGCTCTGCTATGTACGTATTACGGTTGGGATGATAGACGATGCGCGCATCGCGATCCTCCGCCCCGCACCAGTTGCAAATCCGCTCGCGAAAAATACACTCAGGCCCTGTTTACACTAATATGTCTTTGTTTTTAAATGGCAATTTAGAACGACAACGATCCACATCCACACTGGCGTGTAGCATTTCTGAGCAGCCCTCCTTCCTCACTACCTCTGAAAACGCACATCACGTGACCACACACACTCATTCACACACAGATACAGACGCACACACATTGTCATGCGCTCGAGACAGCGGGTCAAGGCAGTCAGCGGGTCAGTAGACTGCTTCCATCTTCCATTACACAAGTACTTAGTCATTTTAGTGAACACCTCAGATACTGTTGGCTGGTTCCTGTTGGTTGTGCGTCTTTTTTACCGACGCCATTATAACGACACAGATCACTGCCTATTCACGAGTCCCGCAGAAAAAGTGATTGACAGGTGGTGATTATGTGTGTATCTTACCTTTATTCATTTACTGTATAATTTGTTTATGGGTCAAACAAAGACCATGCAGGTCAGATAGTTTAAACGGTAGGCTACAAATAATTAATTCGTTATTAATTAATTATTTATAATCGAAAATCGAATCGAGGATTTGGAGGATCGTGACACCCTTAATATATATATATATATATATATATATATATATATATATATATATATATATATATATATATATATATATGTGTGTGTGTGTATATTGGGATATGTGTTTTTTATTTCTTTTGATGTGCTTCTTTTTTCTTTAGTAAAGTTCATTTCAAGACTTGAATAATAATACTTGAATAATAATATATTTTTTTATAAAAAATAAAAAAAAACAACAGTTGAAATATAATTATGGTTGGAAAAATACAAACATCTTCCTTAATATTCTAATGATTTTTGGCATAAATGGCCATTTATTTATATTCAACCTTTGGAATAACAAGCATTTACATATTTGTTCAAACATGTTATATAAAATTTCATATACAGCTGACATTACAATTATTAGCCCTCCAGCAAAATGTTTACTCTTTTAATGTTTAATCAATTTCCCAATGGATATTTACATAGCAATATTTCACACTGTTTCCTATAATATTTCTTTCTTCTGGAGAAAGTCTTAATTGTTTTATTTTAGCTAGAATAAAAGCAGTTTTTAATTTTTTTTAAACATTTTAAGGTCATTATTATTAGCCTCCTTAAGCAATACTTGTTTCAATTGTCAACAGAACAAACCATCATAATACAATAACTTACCTAATTACCCCAGTTACTGTAAGTCTTTAATTGTCACTTTAAGCTGAATACTAGTAAATATCAAGTCAAATATTATGTGCTGTCATCATGGCAAAGATAAGGGAATCAGTTATTAGAAATCATTAAAACTATTATGTCTAAAAAAATGTTGAAGAAATATTATCTCTGTTAAACAGCACTTGGGAAATATTTTTAGATGTATTATATGTTCATACAATATATAGTCATATATTAGATTTCTGTATAGGTGACATATAGGGGTGTAAAATGACCTTTTGTCCTGTGCCTGCTTTCCAGTGATACCCAAACACCAGCTCCAGGTTCACTGTCTTGCTCCAGTCCTCGTCTGCTTCCTCAGAGGCCGAACCGTCCTAAAGGTGGACATAAGTATGAAAAGCGCACATAAACTGATATGAAAGGGGAACTATTATGCATAAATCACTTTTATAGGGGTTTAAACACAGTTGTGTGCCAACAGTGTGTGAATATAACCAGCTTCTAAAGGTAAACATGAATTATTCCTATTGTTTATAATCACACTAGATCAAAGCAGTCTGCAGAAACACTTTGATTGACATTCTCCCAATGTACGCATCATCAGAGGGTGAAAGCCCCGCCCACTAGTGACCAGCTTTCACTAATTAGCATAGGACGTTAGTCTTGTTTTTGAATCTGCCACTATGCTGACACACAGGCATTCATAGCTCCGCCCTCTTTCGAAAAGAACACAATCTCATTAGAATTTAAAGCGACAGTCAGCAAAACACCACAGTTACCATCAAAGCCTGAAAGGGTCAGTTTTAGAGATATAAAGCATTATCTGTGTGGTATTTTGAGCTGGAACTTTACATACACACTCTAGAGACGTGATTTTACATCTTGTAAAAAGGATGCATAATAGGTCCCCATTAAACATTATATAAAAAGCAATATGAAGATCACATGCCTTGATCAGCGGAGGAAAGTGAAACAGATTCAGGTAGTCGTGGGTCAGTTTCTCGATTTCAGTCTGAAAAGGAAAGATTTGACGTTATGTTTAAAACATTAAGACATGCATTTATGCAGCGCACTGACAATCAGCCAATGGCCAGCTGTGTGTGAATGCGGCATAATTATTACCTGTTAATGGACTTTCAGCGGCAAAACAACAATTAATACCATTGTGTATCACTTATGAACGTGTAATTGGTGCTCTGGCATGTGTCATATACATCTAGAGTAATTAATTCAACAAATGCCGCTCTCTACGGAGCACACGCAATAGTGCTTCACGGGTTCAGAAGTGTGGTGTCAGTTAGCAGCAGATCCCGGAGGAAGGAAATTATTTCTCAGAGGTTGCTCTTTCAGAAGCTTAACAATAAGACAGAATGGAGTTTTCAATTAAACATCACTGTCACAGATCCTTCTTAAAGGTGCAGCTCAGCGAAAAAAACGCAAGCTCTTTCTGTAGTACACTCACCGGCCACTTTATTAGGTACACCTCTCTAACTGCTTGTTAACACAAAATTCTAATCAGCCAATCACATGGCAGCAACTCCATATTGTAGTTTACTGTAGCAATTAGAAAATTCATTCATGGGTTCCACCATATTTTTAACGGTAAACTTCTGGCAACCACAGCTGCCGTATTATTAGTAATTGCGCAGCTTTATTTTACAGCTAGCAGAAGTGCTGTACCTTCAGGTGTATGATGTGTCCTTTAGACGTCACACCCAGATCTCTCATGTCAGACTCGGACAGCAGCAGCAGTCTCTGTCCTGTGATGTGGTTCTGTCTGAAGACATTGGCGTACTGCTGCAGCTCTCCGTCACCTGTGCAGAAAACACACACCTTTACTGCTCCATCACACACAATCTGAACTACCAAACTGATGATACCGGCTAAACCTATACTTGAAAATATAGCAATCAAAGACATGTCTCTGGATTTTCATGTGGATATCAGTGTTGGATGTATTTAGTTACTGTAATTAAATTACTTATCAAGTAACTTATCGTAGGTGATTACTTTTCATTTTTCAAAAGTATTGTAGGGATTACATTTAATTTTTAAAAGTATCATAAGGGATTGTTCTTTACTTTTAAAATGTATCATAAGAGATTACTTTTAATTTTTTCAAAAGTATCGGAAATGATTACTCACCATTTTTCTAAAGTATCAAAGGAGATTACTTTTCTTTTTCAAAAGTATCGTAAGAGATTACTTTTCATTTTTCAAAATTATCGTAAGGGATTACTTTTCATTTTTCAAAATTATCAAAAGGGATTACTTTTCATTTTTTTTAAAGTATCAAAAGGGATTACTTTTCTTTTTCAAAAGTATCGTAAGAGATTACTTTTCATTTTTCAAAATTATCGTAAGGGATTACTTTTCATTTTTCAAAATTATCAAAAGGGATTACTTTTCATTTTTTTTAAAGTATCAAAAGGGATTACTTTTCATTTTTCAAAAGTATCGTAAGGGATTACTTTTCATTTTTCAAAAGAACCGTAAGGGATTACTTTTCATTTTTCAAAAGTATCGTAAGGGATTACTTTTCATTTTTCAAAAGTATCGTAAGGGATTACTTTTCATTTTTCAAACGTATCGTAAGGGATTACTTTTCTTTTTTCAAACATATCGTAAAGGATTACTTTTCATTTTTCAAAATTATCAAAAGGGATTACTTTTTTAATTTTTCAAAAGTATCGTAAGTAATTACTGGATTACTTTTCATTTATGAAAAGTATTATATGAGATTACTTTACATTTTTCAAAAGTATCATAAGATAATTACATTTTCTTATAATGTACTTGTCTTCAATACTGTAAATAAATTTTATAGTTTTGTATAAATCAATTCAGAGAAGCAGAGAAATTGCTTGTCTTTTTGTTGAAGAAATATATTTTGCAGAATGATTTTTTTAACTAAAGCAAGTTACAGATGATGGCACATGCGTGCACAAAAAATTATTAGTAGTATAACTTCAGAGAAAGAGTTGTTATTAAATATATATTTAATAACAGAACAGAATAACAGAACAAGGATTTCTTTTCCCTGTATTTTATTCTTCTGGAGAAAGTAATTTGTTTTAGAAATTGGAGAAAAAATTTAAAGGGAGGGTTAATAATTCAGGAACTTAAATACAATTTAGAACGGTTTAAGAATTTTTATTTTTATTTTAATAACATCTTTAAAGAGAACAAACATTTTGTAAAAATTTTTGGGTCACTTTCGATTAAGTTACAGCTGAATGAAGTAATCATTTCTTTAAAAAAATACTCTTACTAACCTCAGATTTTTCTACAATAGTGTGTATAGAGAAACTCACCTTCAAAGATCTGCTCCATCCAGAAATGCTAGTTTTGAAAGAGCAAAAAAGTTTTAAAACCATGAAAAGTGATGAAAATATCTCTTTAGAATGAGAGATGAACTTTACACCCACCACATGCTCTTCTGTCCAGGAGTGAATGGCCAGGTTTGGAAGAAGCTGTCAGACAGAAAAATGAACAGAAATACTAAATCTGTCATCACCTTCACTCATATAATCACATCTCATCAATATAGAGCAAGTGTTTATAATAATATGAAGCGCAGATTACACTTATAATATGACAAAAAAAATCACGACAACGTTGTTCAGTTATATAAAGTTTAACTTAATATTTGTAGTCAGTATGACTGGTTTAAGTTGAGATGACTAGAAAAGTTAAGTTCATCTAAAAAATGGAAGGCAGCAGAATGTTTTACAGTGTATTTACAAGAATTATTAAATACACACACTAAATCAAAATACAGTTTATTGGGGTAAATACAGAAGTCAGAGGAGAATGGCCAGACCGGTTCTAGCTGATAGAAAGGCAACAGTAACTCAAATAAGCACTCGTTACAACCGAGGTCTGCAGAAGAGCATCTCTGAACACACAACACGTCCAACCTTGAGGCGGATGGGCTACAGCAGCAGAAGACCACACCGGGTGCCGCTCCTGTCAGCTAAGAACAGGAACCTGAGGCTACAATTCACACAGACTCACCAAAACTAGCCAATAGCAGTTTGGAGAAACGTTGCCTGCTCTGATGAGTCTCCATTTCTGCTGCAACATTCAGATAGTAGATGGTCAGAATTTGGCATCATCAAAATGAAAGCATGGATCCATCCTGCCTTGTATCATCGGTTCAGGCTGCTGGTGGTAGTGTAATGGTGTGGGGGAGATTTTCTTGGCACACTTTGAGCACCAATTGAGCATTGTGTCAACACCACATCCTACCTGAGTATTGTTGCTGACCATGCCCATCCCTTTATGACCACAGTGTCTTTATCTTCTGATGGCTACTTCCAGCAGGATAATGCAGCATGTCATAAAGCGTGAATCATCTCATACTGGTTTCTTAAACATGACAATGAGTTCACCATACTCAAATGGCCTCCACAGTCACCAGAGCTCAATCCAATAGAGCACCTTTGGGATGTGGTGGAACAGGAGATTCTCATCATGGATGTGCAACCGACAAATCTGCAGCAACTGCGTGATGCTATCATGTCAATATGGAGTAAAATCTCTGAGGAATATTTCCAGTACCTTGCTGAATCTCAGCCACGAAGGATTAAGTCCGTACTGATGGCAAAATGGGGTCGAACCTGGTACTAGTAAGGCGTAACCTAATAAAGTGGCCAGCGACTGTTGTGTTTTTTTTTTTTTATGAGAATGTCAAGAATCTTGAAGAATCTGAAAATGTGTGAATTCATAAAGACATGTTGTGCTCTGTTAAAGATGGAGAGCTAATATTTATAAAATGGCTGGAGTAAAATGCACATCTATTAATTGTGGTATTTTAATATGGTATAAAGATGAATTTTAAAAATAAAAAAAAAATCTTTTTCTCTCTCTCTCTCTCTTTCTCTCTCTCCTGATGGTCTGCTGAAATTGGCCAATCTTACTGTCAGTGAAATGTCAGCGGTGTGTAAGTGCGCTCTGTCCTCACGCTGTTCTCTCAGGCTCTCCTCAGCGTGTGGCTATACATCCACTTCATTTCCCATAAATAACATCCATAAGGAGCCGGTGGGCGTCAGACGGCCTCACCTAATACAGGAGAGAGAGAGCGCTCTACACCCCTGACACACACTTCAAACTCTCCTGACAAACACTGCAGCTTTTCTCCAGCACATAATCACCGCTGCTGACGGACAATACATTCACAAGCACTTCACATACACACTTTGAGGAAATGCGTGCGGTTACATTAAGAAGCTCTTTCTGATCAGATCTCTAAGCAAAGCTGAATAAAAGTAGAGTATTGGGAAAAAATCCTCAGACCCCTTGAGAGGCCACATGTCGGTGCGGTTGGCCCTGGGTTCTCCTAATGCAAGACAATGCAAGACCTTATGTGGTTAAAGTGTGTCAGCAGTTCCTGCAAGAAGAAGGTATTGATGCTATGGACTGATCCCCAAACCTGAATCCAATTAGCACACTGGAACACCGTGTTGCAACACAAGACTGTCCAGGAGTTGGCGGATGCTTTAGTCCAGGTCTGGGAGGAGATCCCACAGGAGACCATTCGCCACCTCATCAGGAGCATGCCCAAGTGTTGTGGAGAGGTTATACAGGCCTCACCAATGAGCCTCATTTTGACTTGTTTTAAAGACATTGCATCAAAGTTGGAACAACCCGTAGAGTGTTTTTCTGCTTCAATTTTGAGACTCCACATCCAGACCTCCTAGGGTAAATACCAACCCAGGCTCATTGTGGAAATGTAGCCCCGCGGACGTTTCTGGAGACCCAGGAGGTATGTATTTGTGCAGTTTTTGTTTTGGCGAATCCGCGAGAGGCCGCTGAGCGCGTTTTTTTGCATCTCGAACGCCTCTCGGGAGCACATGCTGTTCGCGCTGTTCTTGCGTGAAAAGCCGCCGAAGGCCACTGTCGAGCAACTGTCTGTCCGAATAACTGACTGACTGACTGAATGACTGAACGATCGACTGGGCGGCCGGCCAATCGGCCGATTCAGCCTCCTCTTTCCCCAAACCCAAGCGACGATTTACAAAAGTCGCAAAAGCCCTGGTCCGATTTTGACAGAGTTTTCGAATTTCACCGCATTCTCTCTCCGTCAGAACCACGTTCGCTTTATTATTTAGGATTCTGTTTTTCATATTACGTGATGCTCTTCTCCAGACTCGAACCTGGTCGTCGGCTGGCTCCTCCTCCTCCGGGCCTACGCTCTGCCTATCTAACACTACGAGCTAAGCGGACAAACTGGTTGCGGTGGGAAAGCCCTCCACACAGAGGTGAGCCGTCAGCCGGTGAGCGCGAAAAAGAGGAGCGCCGTCACACCGCCCCGTAGCGATTGCTTGAAAAAACGAATTGCGGCCATACGTATCTCCGGCCACGTAAATCGCGGTCTCCAGAAACGTCCGCGGGGCTACGTTTCCAGAATGAGCTTGGGTAGGTTAATACATTTGATTTCCATTTATATTTTTGTGTGGTTTTGTTGTCAGCAGATTCAACTATGTAAAGAACAAAGTATTTAATACGAATATTTCATTCATTCAAAACTAAGATGTGTTATTTTATTGTTTCCTTTATTTTTGAGCAGTGTAGTGTACATATAAACATACTAATACAGCTTTTAAAGTCTACTAAAAAATGAAATGATCTGCCAGACATGAGAGTGAACAATGACTGAAAATCCCCTTCTGAGTAAATATTAGCTTTGATGGCTTAATTAAGGTTGTAACAAAGATGTAACAAAGATCAAGGGCAAATAAATCAAATGTAGATATAATACAAGTCTGTGAATATCAAAAGGACTGTTATTTAAATAATCTGTAAGTGGCACCTTTTTATAGTCCTATACTAAATAATGAAGTTGATAATGAATGTTGAATACTTTAGCTCATCATCAACATGATTTCAACCACAACTCCCATGATTCCACACTTGGTTACACTGTCATTTAGAGCTGCACAATTAATCGTAAAAAGATCGCGATCTCGATTCGACCCCCTATACCATGTTAATCCAGCATTTCTACGATTCTGTCAATTATATTTTCAAGTTCAGGAGAGAAGCAAAAGTGGCTATACAGGTCTTCACATTGTTCTACATCCGTTGTTCAGCAACCCGGACACCTCCAAATGATGTTGAAAGAGTCACATACTGTATTTATAAGATATAATTCACCCCAAAAATGTCATTTCTGTCTTCATGTAATGATCTATTTGCGACCGCAAAATCAAACGTGACGTGAGCTGACCCGTCAGCTGTTACGACAGGGTGGGTGCGCGCCTCTGAATGAAGTCTACTTAAGTGAACAGACCCTGCATTGGCTGTGAATAACAGGTAATAAAGTTGTAAATAACATTCAGTTTGTGGCACAGAGCGATTGTTTGGGAGCCGTGCGGGAAGTGAACCGCTCTTAGCAGTGAAAATAAAACCGAAAGCGCACACAGTGTTGCCAGATGTAGCTGACTGATTCCAGCCCAAAAAGTATCCAAAACCCGCCGAAATGCAAAAATACCCACCCAGTCTTCTGTATTCACGAAAATCACGTCAGTGACAGATTTTATACAGAACATTACAGATTGTAAGCATATCTCAAACACAATAATTCAACATCAGACTTATCATCAGCATTAATGACCAGGACAAATCTAAAGTCTGTTCAAGTCCACCACTCCAAGTCTTTACAAAATTGAGCATTTTAACAGACAGTACAGCTACACAAAGCCTATTGCTGTTGTTTGAGAATAACAATAATAATAGCCCACTCATACTAACCTTTATTTGACATCTACAGAATCGTGATCTCTACTTTAGGCAAAAAATAAAAATAAATCACGATTCTCCTTTTAGCCAGAATCGTGCAGTTCTACTGTCATTAAAATACACTTTTATTTGTTGTGAATACACGCCCTTTAGTGGCCAGAATGACATAATGACTCACCGGTGTGTTTGACTGCTCGATCAGTTTCCTCTCCCACATCTTCAAGCGTCTCTCTCGCTCCTTCAGCGCTTGTTCTTTGGTGCTCAGATCTCTTTCCAAACGCTTCAGACGCTCCAGAGTCGCCTCGATCTCACACCTGTATATGTAACACACCACATATTCATCAACATCAGCATTGCCATCCCAATATTTATACACACCAACTATAAACATACCAATACCAATGGTATATTAATATTGGTAAGTTTGTTGTTGGTATGTATGGAGTGATTTTTTGCACAACTCCAAATCAGAAAAAGTTGAGACAGTATGGAAAACACAAATAAAAAAAAAGGAAAGAAGTGATTTCCAAATTGACTTTGACTTGTATTTCATTGCACACAGTATGAACACAAATTATTTCATGTTTTGTCCGGTCATCTTCACTTCAGTTGTAAATATACATTCTGTCCTGTCATTCAGATCTGCAACACACTCCAAAAAAGCTGGAACAGGAGCAGTTTAGGGCAGTAATCAGGTAAATCAGGCAAAAGCAGCAGCATCCAAGAAAGGTCTGTTCTTTTAGGAGCAAAGATGGACTGAGAATCGCCAGTTAGCCAACAAATACGTGAGAAAATTATTAAAATGTTTAAAAACAATATTTCTCAAAGAAAGAGAGGAAAACATGTGGATATTTCACCTTTAACAGTGCAGAACATCATTAAAGATTCAAGGAATCTGGAGGAATCACAGTTTGTAAAGGACAAGGGTGCAAACCTAAGCTGAACACCTGAGGCTCAAGCTTCACCTACCAGTTCAGATCATATTTTAGCCCCTCCCACAACATGTGGCTCTCTTGAGTTATCTCTTACTGTCATTTATATATGAAGAGTTTTAAACCCCGCCCACCAGCACTACCCCAGATTAGCCCCGCCCCCATCTCGCGACTCTCTTTATTCTACCGTCATTTATATATTGGGGCTCAAGCTCCGCCCATCAATGCCAACCCTACTTTAGCCCCTCCCCCAGCTTTCTTCAGTCTGCCATCATTTATTTATGGAGTTTCAAACCCCGCCCACCAGCACTACCCCTGATTAGCCCCTCCCCCATCTCGCGACTCTCTTTATTCTACCATCATTTATATATTAGGGCTTAAGCTCCGCCCATCAATGCCAACCCTACTTTACCCCTCACCAACTCAGATTATAAGCAGTGTTGCCAGATTGGCCAGTTTAATTGTGCGGCTAAAAAATGACTTCAAATTTTTAACATTTGGCTCAGTTTGGCAAAATTTGAGACGTGCACTTTATAGGTGCGTGCAACTGCTCCATTCAGTTAGAAATGACATTACTAAACACATTAATTCTGCACAGTATTGTAGCGTAGTGAATGATTGATTGAGTTCTGTGACTTTGTTGTCGGTCGCTAGCAATGGTGTGTAAATCGTGACGGTTAGCAACGTCTCAATTCTGACTGAAATAAAATTACTAATCAAATATTTATGCCGTTTTTTGTGTGTTTGAGCAGGTTATGGAAAGTTTTGGGATGGAAACGATCAAGTTTATTTGGCAACGCTGGTTGAAAATGTGCTCTTGGTTTGCCCTTTTGGATGCGTCACATTTCTTTTCTTCATTGAGTGTTTATGTTCAGCTGGAGGGACAAACAGGAGCCTCGTGTCTCTGGCTCACTTCCAGACACTCTTAATATAGAATCAAACAGACAGAACTTTCTAGACCACCAGAATACAATGTGTGTAAGAAAATACACTGACTGCTCTATTAGAAAAGAAATCAAGTAGTATATTGTGCACAGTGTTGGGCACAAATTAACAGTATTTAAAGTACTTTTGTGCTGAAAAAGTGATGTAAGGGTATACTTTTGGTACTTTTTAGGTCATTTAATAACAGTTACTCATATTATGCTTGCCTAAATACTGTAAACGAATTCAACAGCTCTGTGTTTATCAAATCAGAGATGCAGAGCAATTGTGTTTGTTTGTTGTGCAAATATAACTTGCAGAATAATTCTATTTTTCAATTAAAGAGGACTACAGAAAGAAACTACAGACTATCAGAAACACAAATTTAATATACGCACTTATAAAAAGCAAATCTGAATGATGTGACACTGAAAATAAAGAAAAATAATAAATCACATTTTAAAATATATTAATTTATTTTAATATATATTCTATTATATATATATCAATATTTTAATACAACAATCATATTTTAATTATACAATAATAATAATAATAATAATAATAATAATAATAATAATAATAATAATTCCTTACATTTATATAGCGCTTTACACATTTTTGGGGGGGGATCTCCTCATCCACCACCAGTGTGCAGCATCCACCTGGATGACACGACAGCAGACATATTGCGCCTGACCGCACACCAGCTGATTGGTGGAGAGGAGGGAGAGATAAAGCCAATCATGACATGGGGATCGTTAGGAGACCATGATGGACAAATTTGGCCAGGATGCCAAGGTTAAACCGCCTTTATCGAAGGACATCCTGGGATTTATAACGACCACAGAGAGTCAGGACCTCAGTTTAACTTCTTAAGCAAAAGTTGGTGCTCACCAAGCAGTATAAAGTCCCCATCAATATACTGGGGTGTCAGGACCCATACAGACCGCAGGTTTGAGAGAGCGCAGTCCTGCTAAGCTTCAGTGGACGACCATGTGAGAGTTGCAGAGAGTAAATAAATAAGAACTAGAATTAATAATAATGCAAATCAGAATGAGTTTATTTTAAAATATAACTTTTTCCAGTCATTTTGATCATATAAACAATTAAATAAATCGACAAAAAGTAAAATTGTATTTGTAATGATGAAATAATAATAAAAAGGACCATTATTTTAAAGGCTCTGGGACATGGCCATGGTCATGTGATCTAATATGGTAATGATGCTGAAAATGAAATATACTTTAAAATTTACTGACTTGTTTTCAATTATTTGACAATATGACTTTTTTCAGTATTTAAACAATATAAACAATTTAATTAAACAACAAAAACATTAAATAAATAAAAAAAAAACATAGAAAAACCAGTATTGTATTATTCATTCATTTTCCTTCGGCTGAGTCGCTTTATTAATCGCTGAGTCGCTTTATTTCGGCTGAGTTGCTTTATTAATCTGGGGTCGCCACAGTGGAATGAACCACCAATTTATCCAGCATACGTTTTATGCAGCGAATGCCCTTCCAGCTGCAACCCAGAGCTGGGAAACATCCATTCGCACTCAATCCTTAAGGCAATTTAGTTTATTCCATTCACCAATAGTGCATGTTTTTGGACTGTGGGGGAAGCTGGAGAAACCCACGCCAACAAGGGGGGAACATGCAAACTCCACACAGAAATGCCATCTGACCCAGCCAGGACTCAAACCAGCGACCTTCTTGCTGTGAGGTGACAGTGGTACCCACTAAGCCACCATGTCGCCAGTATTGAAATAGAAAAAAGTAAATCAGCAGGCCCACTACATAAATACAGTACCTCCACTCGGCTTTATTCTGCAGGAAAGTGTTGCACTTGTCAGGCAGCTGAGTGTCGCTCCACATGGACTCCAGTGTGGACAGGATGTGTTTAAACAGCGGCCGCTCCTGAAACACAATCACATCTTCATCAAAACATCAGCATCTCCAGAAGAGACACGTCACATCACTGTCTGACACAATAAACTCTTAGAAAACGCTATGAGAATGTACAGTACACACAGAGGACTGGCTCATCCATCCACATGGTTAATAAGCTATAGATCACAAACAGCTGTGGCCCGGAAGTTAACGAGAATAATTTATACTCCTTATTAAATTTCCCATTAACTGTATTTTATTAGGGCGCAGTAAGTAGTGCTGTGGCCTCACAGCAAGAAGGTCGCTGGGTCGAGCCTCGGCTCAGTTAGCGTTTCTGTGTGGAGTTTGCATGTTCTCTGTGTGTTTCCTCCGGTTGCTCTGGTTTCCCCCACAGTCCAAAAACATGTGGTACAGGTGAATTGGGTAGGCTAAATTGTCCGTAGTGTGTGAATGTGTGTGTAAATGTTTCCCAGAGATGGGTTGTGGCTGGAAGGGCATCCGTTGCGTAAAAATGTGCTGGATAAGTTGGCGGTTCATTCCGCTGGGGCGACCCTGGATTTATAAAGAGACTAAGCCGACAAGAAAATGAATGAATGAATGAATGTATTTTATTAACATCCACCCCAACCCTAAACCCAATCGTCACTGTAATACAGATCTGTAATACACTGAAAAACAGATCTGGATGTGGAGTCTTCTCTATTAGTATAGCTGATTAACCATGTGGATGGATGATAACAACCTTCTGAGCCTACTAGCAGGCGCAGGAGGCCCCTGCTGGCCAATATCTATCAGCTAACAACCACTGATAACAACCATTCAATCGGGTGATAACATTTGAAGCAGGTGTTTTTTTTTTAAACATTAATAAGTACACTGAAAAAATTTATTCAGAGATGATTCCTTGGATTTACTCAATTTTTTTTACATTAAGTGGTTGTAAATAATTTATTTGTGTTGAATTTAAACAAACAAATTAAGTTGAACATTATTAAACAGCTCTGCATGCAACTCTTTTTTCAGTGTCAATACTGTTGTGTTTGGTGTTTAGTAACGCCATTTCTAACTGAATGGAGCAGTTGCACGTACCTATAAGTATAAGTCATTTTTTAGCCGCACAATTAAACTGGCCAATCTGGCAACACTGCTTATAATCTGAGTTGGTGAGGGGTAAAGTAGGGTTGGCATTGATGGTAACAAGTTTTTCCACTTCCACAAGTAGCCTTCAATACTGCAGTTACTAGTCTGAAATACACTGAAACTTTACACGGGGCTTCAGCGTCAACGCTTGACAGAGGGCGTGTCTGAAGTTGGAGCTGAAACGATCGTCATAGAAGCGTCAGCCACTGAAATTCAGTCAGCAATAGGCCACTGTCTGAGCTGGTGTATTTGCATACAGCAATCTGATTGGCTGACGCTTCCGTCGGCGCTTGAAAAGTTGAGCTAGTCCCAACTTCTGCAGTGAGGAACGCTTCTGAAGCGGCGCCGACGGATCCACAATGCAGTTCGGCAACGCCTGACGTCACCCATTCAAAGTGAATGGGAAGCGTTGACGCTGACGCCCCGTGTGAATAGGGCGTTAGGGAACTATTTAGATTCTTCTGTGCATGGTTTGCATGGTGTGCATGAATAAGACTGGAAAATGCTCAATTCACTTTCATATTTTGATCCAGTGTACTTGCATGGTGAGTCCTCAGGAAATGTCCACTTCATACAAAGTAAGGTAAAATGACCACAAAGTAAGGCACATGACAAAGTAAAAACTTTTTTAGACCAGGCTGACAAACTAGCTTTTCTAAGATTTGAAGCACACCACAAGTGCACATTCGGTAATATAAAGCGCACTTCTTTTTTCAGAGGCTTGAAGCAGTTCATGCATGCAATAGTGACACATTAACAGCTTTTTCAACTGGTAAGCTGTCATGAAGCACAATACACTGTAGAAAAAGTCCGTAGGAAACTTTTTTAGAGATTTAAAAACAGCCACGAGTGTTTCTGAGTGTTATGCTACAGTTCTCTGAGTGCCTGCAAATGTGTATTGATTAAGAATGAGTGTGATGTTTCCATAAAAAAACAAACAAGCCGTGAAATGAGGCGGATGAAGTGAACTTTGCCTAGATGAATTAAAGATGTCAGGATAAGAGTCATATATTAATGAAGAGAGCTGTTATTATTATCCTGACCAAACAGCATGTCTTATCTCTTACTCATGCAGTAGTGCTTTTTCACTATAAGGCAGAGTAAATCTAGCTAAGCACTGTATAATTACTGTATTAGTATATGTAACATATGTAATTATCTGAGATTTATTATATGTTTGCTATGCAATATACACACACTGGCCACTTTATTAGGTACACCTTTCTAGTAACATGTTGGACCCACCTTTGCCTTCAGTACTGCCTTAATCCTTTGTGGCAGAGATTCAACAAGCTACTGGAAATATTCCTAAAAGATTTTAGTCTATATTGACATGATGGCATCATGCAGACACACTTAATGGAGCTTGTGACGTTGGTGTGAGGGGTAGGGTTAGGTGTGCACATTAAAAGCATTGCACGCAGCTCACCTTGCAACTGGACTTGGTCTTCATCTACACCCCTCTCCATGCACTTACTTTAATAACTACAATGAATTTTGCATAGTTACACGTAATTAAGCCTACATTTCTAACCCAAACCATAAAATGAGCACATGTAATTAATTAACATTATCCAGTAGCTAAATGAAGTTACACTGTAACTATGTCACCTGAAAAAAAGTTGAAAAGCACCCTTAAAAAGAGTTTGAGCTCAGCTTAGTCTGTGGTCACCATCTGTGCCATGACCTATATTACAGATGAAGGGAAACAGGTTAACATTTCTCTTCTTACTTTTGGTTCAGTCGCCCAGCAGCTTCTCATCAAACAGGCGAAACTTGCTGGGCAGCTGCTGGGGATCGTCAACCTCTGCAAAAACACACACACAAATACACATACATTACTTATAAATGTTTTTTGCTTCTTGTTTGTTCCGTTATATGTATACATATTCACATTTTTTATTGTTTACTTTATTTTCCACATGTCATTCTGTATTCTTGTGTTTATATAGTTGAAATCTAAAGTATACTGAGCTCCTGAAAAAACCCCACAAAAGATTCTTTGCGTGTTTGCGCGCACTTGGCGAATAAAGCTCATTCTGATTCTAAACACACATGTCAAAAACCCCACAAAAAGCTTAGTTTAGCAAAAATAACACTGTCACCTCATGTTTCTCCACCACCAGCCAGGCCACCTGAAGCCCCTCCAGACCTTTGAAGGGAATCTCCTGAGTCAGCATCTCCCACAGGACCTGAAGGAGACACACACACTTATTCAACACATTCTCATCATTAATATGATCCCTCGTCTACATTTCTAGAGATCAAGAAATATGTACCCGGAGCTATGTCTGCTTGCAGTTTTTGTTTTCGCGAATCCACCAGAAGGCGCTGTTTACACTTTTTGATGATCTCAAATAGGGCTGGGTGATATGGCAAAAATGCAATCTCCATAATAATTACGGGATACATTTCAATAAAAGTTGTTAATTCTTCCAGATTTAAAAGAGTATCCCAACAATGACCATAGCCACAAAAATGAACGGGTCCATTAAATGATGGCCAAAAATTTAGTACATCTCTAATATCAACACACTGTTAGATTACCATTGTTGCACATTTCTGCTGTGTGATTGGCACTTAGATCAATATAGAGTAAACAAGTCTAGAGCTTATTGTTATTGACAATAATTTTATTGCAATTCAATATAATATCGTTTATCGGCCCAGATCTAATCTCCAATTTCTCTCGAGAGTGCCATTTGTGCATCCTCTTCTCACGTAAAATCCACCAGAGGGCGCAGTAACACATGCTCCGGCCAATCAGCTTTCTGTTGACTGACCCACCCCTCTCCCTAAACCCAACCGATAGTGATTTCAAAAGTAGAAAAAGCAAAGCCGTCACGGCTGTGCGATTTTACCACGCTTTCAGTCTGTTATTTATTTTTTGCTTTTGTTTCACCTGGTTTCTGGAACCGTTCTTCGCTGAACTCGAACTTCGTCAACATGATGCACTCATCCCAAGTCCACTGGCATACATGGTGAGCTACTGAGCAAACTGGTAACACCAGAAAAGCTGCCCATATGGAGATAAGTGTAACCCCACCGGTCCTACGCCACCCAACCCTCTCTGAGCTGGTATCGAACCGGCGACCTTCCGCATGGGAGTCGCCTGCTCTACCAAGGAGGCTAAAGACCATGGCCTCTAGCGTTAGTTGCTAGAGCACCATTAGAGGTCAGAGGAGTGAGGTTTACCTGCACAGCACTTACTAGCTGGCCTCTGTTTAGCGATTATACATAGTGTGAAATAGAACAGAAGTTGTCTGTGGCATCATACCACCCCGTAGCGTTTGTTTTACAGCCAAAATGCAGCCAGATGTACCTCCGGGTACTTATTTCACAGTCTCCGGACATATAGACAGGGGTATGTATACACAATAGCTGCGTTTCCACTGTCGCCCCTAAAGCGAGCGAGCCAGAGCGAGACAGGGCTAGTCACATTTCCATAGTCACTACCGGGGCCAGATCGGGCCAAAGTGAGGCTTTCTCGAGACAAGCGGCCGGCCATTTTCGGCCCGCCTAATACCTTGGGCCAAAGCAAGCCCGCTAAGTCTTCGGGGTGAAGTGAAATCAGAGTTTGCAGGATGCTGTGCCGACATTACACTAGTTTTCTCATCACGCATGAGTACATGTGCCAGAAAATAAATAAACAAGTTAAAGAAAAAACATAGCTACTGGTCACTTTAAGATATTCTATAAAACACCTTATAGGCTAGAAGTCTTTTGCTTAAGATCGCCCTTATGTTTCCCTTTTAAATTTAAAGGTGTTTCATAAAGCAATAATTAAAGTAATTTTTATTATTATTACATGATTTGGGCATCACTGCTCAACCTCCTATTGGCCAGGCCCGATAAAAGCCCTGGCTTGCACTGGCCCGACAGTAGAAATGTGGCTAATGAGCCTGTGTTGCACTTATTATATACAGCTCTATGATAATAGTAGCCAACACTACAAGTGCATCAACCAGCTGACTAGCCAAATCTATTAAAGTCAAATGTATAAGTTTTATATTATTTTATATTTAGTTTAGGTTTGGACTGGTGGGTAACACTTTATAATAACTACACACTATAAATCATCTATTAAGCATTAGCAAATAGTGATTTCATTATTAGTTAAGCATTAACTCTACATTAATAAGTGTCAGTAAGCAGTTTATAACTGCTGCTACAAATGCTGTACTCTTGACTTACAAACACATTTATAATGTGCTTAATAATTGTACTTTCATACTTTGTTAATGATTAATTTTCATTACTAAATGAAGTATTGCATTATTTATAAACCAGTTGTATCGAAGAGTAGTTGAGGGTTTTTAGAATAATTCAAAATGAGTTAGTAAATTATTAATAAACTATTGAAATCAACGTTTATATGTCTTATTATTCAGGCATATATTAATAGTTAACTAATATCTTAATAAATGCTTTATTAACTCAACTTCATGCAGTTTTGTGACCTAATCTAAAGTGTGGATTATTTATGCTTTATAAATCCCTTATAAATGACTATTAAAGGCTCCGAATCAACTGAACAATAATCTTTTCTAGAAAGTAAAATTACTATAAAGTTTAAACATTGCTGAACAACAGGAGTGTCAAAATACAACCACAATATAATAATAATTTAAAAATATAATAAGATGCAATGTTTAAACTCTACAGTGCTTTTATTTTAGATCAGGTTGCAAAGATTTATTTTTCATTTGAAGTACAGTTTCATTTGTGTATCTTTAAATGAAGAGAAATGAATAATGTCATTTTTCCTGTTTAGAAATTAACTGAGCCTTTATTTGTCATTTATAAGGGATTTATAAAGCATGAATAGTCCTCACTTTAGATTAGGTCACAAAACTAGATGAAGTTGAGTTAACAAAGAATTTATTAACATAGATAGTAACCATTAATATATGCCTGAATAATAAAACATATAAGCGTTGATTTCAATAGTTTATTAATCATTTACAAACTCATTTTGAATTATCCTAAAATCCCTCAACTACTCTTGAATACAACTGGTTTATAAATAATGCAATACTTAATATAGTAATGAAAAATAAATCATTAACTAAGTATGAAAGTACACTCATTAAACACATTATATAGGTGTTTATAAGTCAAGAATAGAGAATTTGTAGCTGCAGTTATAAACTGCTTACTAACGTTTATTAATGTAGAGTTAATGCTTAACTGATAATGAATTCACTATTTGCTAATGCTTAATAGATGATTTATAGTGTGTAGTTATTATAAAGTGTTACCGAATATTTATATGTGTCCTATGGTCAGATGTGAATATGAAAACCATAAAAAATAAATAGACCGAGAGTTCTCACCACGCCGTAGGAGAAGGTGTCGCAGGTCTCAGACACCGGGAGGCTCTGAATGACCTCAGGGGCCATCCAGGGAAACGTGCCCACCAGAGACATGTGTGTGGTGTGTGAATGAAACTTGGACGCCCCGAAATCACAGATCTGAGGGAACAGAGAATCAGGTGAGTCAGCAGACGAACACTGAAGGAGGACTTTTTTATTAAACACTAATGTAATACAGTCAGTGCGTACCTTGAGTACTGAATCTGAGCTTAACACAACTGGAATGAAACACAGTATGGTCAAGTCAAAGCAACACAATTCAAACACTCACACAAAAAGCTTTTATTCTGTACAATACTTTAAAGTTACAAACCATTTCGGGACTTGAGGTCTCTGTGAATGACTTTAACCGGGGCCTCAGAGTGCAGATAATGCATGCCTAGAAGACAGTGACTGTTTATAAATGGTGTTTATCAGACTGAAAGTGCTTAAAGAGCTCATATCAATGTTTCCCTTTTACTCTGTTGTGTAATGTGTCTGTTTGCATGTTTAAAGGGACAGTTCACCCCAAAAAACTGAAAGATTTCCTCAGGATTTACTCACACTAAGTGGTTTGAAAATTTTATGAGTGTTGAACACAAAAGAAGATATTCTGAAGAATGTTGGAAACCAGCAGGCAATGACATCCTTAAGCTAGACAGACACTGTGTGATTTTGGGTAATATTTTGAGCCATGTGGCGGGCCGAATTTCATGCATCGTTTCTCGTTTAAACGTAGCACAGTGTGAAAACGTGCTTGCCCCCTAAACCTTTATAACTGGTCACCCTTAGCAATAACAAATGCAATCAAGTGTTTTCGATAACTTCCAATACGTCTGTTACAGCGCTGTGGAGGAATTCTTCCCACTCATCTTTGCAGAATTGTTGTAATTCGGCCACACTGGAGGGTTTTTCGACCATGAACCGCCTTTTTACCTCTTAATTGGATTTAGGTCAGGACTTTGACTAGGCCACTCCAAAGTCTTCTTTTTTCCCAGCTATTCAGAAGTGGACATAACCTCGTGTGAAAAAGCATTTGCCCCCTAAACCTAACAAGTGGTTAGACCATCCTTAGCAGCAACAACTCCAATCAAGCATTTTCAATGACTTGCAATGAATTTTGGCTCACTCATCTTTGCAGAATTATTGTAATCAAGCCACATTGGAAGGTTTTCAAGCATGAACCACTTTTGTAAGGTCATGCCACAGCATCTCACTTTGATTCAGGTCAGGACTATAACTAGGCCACTCCAAAGTCTTCATTTGGTTTGTTTTTTCAACTATTTAGAAGTGACTTGCTGGTGTGCTATGAATCATTGTCCTGCTGCAGAATCCAAGTTTGCTTCAGCTTGAGGTCACTAACAGATGGCCGGACATTCAGGATACTGGATTTGTGCATTTATAAATACCGTTGAATTTACGAATTGGATTTGTGTATTTTTAAACTGTGTTTTGAGTTTACGTATCTGATTTTCGTATTTTTGACACTGGTGTATTTAACAAATGCTCAGCTGTAGTTTCTGAGCATTAGTTTCTGACGGTAGTTTCTGACAAGTGTTGAGCACTGACAAACACAACTCTGCACATGAAGGATGATGATCTGATTCTAAACACCGGTGAACTGAAGCCGAGTTTTGACAACTGGAATCAAACGAAACAAGCACTAATTAAAGGGGGCTTTCAGACAATTTGTAGGCACAGCTACATCATTCAATTGCCATTCTGACCAGTCCAGAATGTTTTTTTTGTATATATATTTTGAGAGGAGAATAATTTACATACAGTTGAAGTCAGAGTTATTAGCCCCCATTAAGTTTTTTTTTTATATATATATTTTTCAAATGATGTTTAATAGAGCAAGGTAATTTTTAGTCTTATATTATTTTTTCTTCTGGATAAAGTCTTATTTATTTTTATTTCGGGACGAATAAAAACAGTTTTTAATTATTTTAAAACCATTTTAAGGTCAAAATTATTAAGCTATATATATTTTTTCAATAGTCTCCAGACCAAACTATTATTATAAAATAACTTGCCTAATTCCCCTAACCTGCCTAGGTAACCTAATTAACCTAGTTAAGCCATTAAATGTCACTTTAAGCTGTATAGAAGTGTCTTGAAGAATATATAGTCAAATATTATTTACTGTCATCATGACAAAGATAAAATAAATCAGTTGAAATGAGTTATTAAAACTATTATGTTTAGAAATGTGTTGAAAAAAAAAGGGTCTCTGTTAAACAGAAACTTGGGGGAAAAATAAACAGGGGGGCTAATAACTCAGGGGAGCTAATCATTCTGACATCAACTGTATATGGTTTCAACAATCAGATGCATGTGGACCTGTCTAGTTTAGTCTCAGACCACCTCCAGAAGTGATTTCTATCCATCCTAAATGTATTTCTGAGGGAATTTACACTTGCCATTTTTCTTTTATAAAATTATCAGATAGTCTGATGTTTCATTTCGCATTTTCTGTTCAGTTGATGGAGTAGTGTGTGTGCTACCTTTAGCGATGTCCATGGCCCAGGTCATGATCTGCTGCATACTGATGTCCTCGCTGTCGTCGCTGGACAGATAGTCAAACAGAGACCCGCCACTGGCATACTCTACGATAAAACACACACAAGAACAAATTAGCATGCTAAAATTTCACATATCACTGCTGTGGGATGTAATGGTCAAGTATTAGATGTGCTTTCATAAGTCAGACCCCCTAGATTTGTTGTGAAGCTTCTCTATTGATACTTTGGCGGTGTGCTTTGGGTCATTGTCCTGCTGGAAGATGAACCGTCAACCCAGTCTGAGGTCAGGAGCACTCTGAAGCAGGTCTTCATCCAGGATGTCTCTGTACATCGCTGCATTCATCTTTCCCTCTATCTTGCCTAGTCTTCCAGTTCCTGCTGCTGAAACACATCCCCACAGCATAATGCCAACACCACCATGCTTCACTGTAGGGATGCAATTAGCCTGGTGATGGGCGCAGCCTGGTTTTCTCCAAATGTAACGCCTGGCATTCACTCCAAACAGTTCAATTTTAGTCTCATCAGACCAGAGAGTTTAGCTTCTGATGGTCTGAGAGTCCTTCACATGCCTTTTGGCAAACTCCAAGCGGGGAGTGTCTTCCGTCAGGCCACTCTACCATACAGATGCCTGATTGGTGGATTGCTGCACAGATGGTTGTCCTTCTGTAAGGTTCTCCTCTCTCCACAGAATAACGCTGGAGTTCAGACAGAGTGACCATCGGGTTATTGATCACCTCCCTGACTAAGATCCTTCTCCCCCAATTACTCAGCTTAGATGGCCAGCCAGCTCTAGTAAGAGTCCTGGTGGTTAAACATCTTCCACTTACGGATGATGGAGGCCGCTGTGCTCATTGGAACTTTTAGAGCAGCAGAAATGTTTCTGTAAGCTTCCCCAGCCTTGTACCTCCAGACAATCCTGTCTCTGAGGTCTACAGACATTTCCTTTGTCTTCATGCTTGGTTTGTGCTTTGACATGCACTGTCAACCCTGGGCCCTCATATAGACAGGTGTAAGCCTTTTCAAATCATGTCCAATCAGCTGAATTGAGCACAGGTGGACTCCAATGAAGCTGCTGAAACATCTAATGAATGATCCATGGAAACAGAATGTAGCTGAGCTCAATTTAGAGCTTCACGCCAAAAGCTCTGAATACTGATGTACATGTGATTTATCAGCTTTTTATAAATTTGCAACAATTTCTAAAACTCTTTTTTTACATTGTCATTATGGGGATTGTATGTAGAATTTTGAGAAAATAAATTAATTTAATCCATTTTAGAATAAGGCTGTAACGTTAAAAAATGTGGAAAAAGTGAAGCGCTATTAACACTTTCCTTATGCACTGTTATAATAATAACAATAATAATAATAATAATATTACTGTTTAGCATTGGATTGGGTCACCGCATGCACACATCATATAATGCTCAGATTATCAGCTCCAAACACACAAGGGAAATTAATAACGTAAGCTGACAGAGGTGATCTGGTCATAAACACCACTTTCAGCCGCTCGCATCAAGTTTACTTTTCATAAAGCAGGAGTGGAGTGTCTCTCAGCAAACATTCTTTATACAGCCCTTTATGAGCTTTTACAATCACAGCACAGCTCAACACACGCTGCAGAGTCAGGAAGACGAGAAGAGATAACGAGCCATGTTTTCATCCAAACATGCATATTCAATTTATGCGCAAAACTGGAATACTGCATGAAACATTCGCGAATAAAGCAGCGTTTCCATCCAATGAGTCCAAGAGAAAAAAATTGTTGAAATCATGCGACGACTTTTCTCTTTTCTAGATTGCCTTTGATAACACTATCGGTTGGGTTTAGGGAAGGGGGTGGGTGGTTCAGTTGGTCCGTCAGTCAGTCGACAGCAAGCTGGCCTGGTTTGCTGAAGTGTATAATGCGCCCTCTGGTGGATTTACGCAAGAAGAGGACACACTAGACACATTTGAGATCATCAAAAAGCGTACACAACGGCCTCTGGTGGATCATACATAACAGCACGGTGACAGCATTAAATACAGAGACTTAAAACTATTACTTTAACACGTTTGTGCCCAATAATGGGTTTTATTTCTGTATCGCGATCACGAACGAATCTTTTTAACCGGATCTTCTAAGTGAACCGGTTGAACTAGTTCACCAAATTGAATTGAATCATTTAAAACGATTCTCGTCTCCAGTAAGCACTTAACCACAAACTACTTACTTTATAACAAGCCTAATACCCCCCTCTGACTCTAAATAAACCAATATATACTCTCATTCAGTTATTAGAACAACAACATTACATTGAGAAGTGGTGAACCGTTAATACTGCGCATGCATGATTCAGTGAACCAAACATAAACAATACAGCCCTCAGCCTGCTGTGTGACTCAACTGAACCACTGAACGGAACTGGAACAACTGCAGCGCAGGTAAACCGAGGGCTTAAATGAGAGAATTTGGTGAAAAACGTAAGTTTATTTCATAACAGGCAATCGTGGTGGAATTTAAATAAGTGAAGCATGATTCAGTTGGGTTGCAAAACTTTACTGTAAACATTTTTCAGATCATTTTAATTGACTGATGCTGATTACATAATGTCCTAACATCCACGTTAAATATCTGGACTTCCCATCACCAGGCCCAGATTAATAATTTGGCCCCTGGGCACAATGTCTTGAAGGCCCCTTATAGCTGCACCCCATAGTTGAATTAAAAAGTAAATTTAATGTAATATTTGTTAAATACAATTTATTTATAATGTATTGCCCACATGTTCAAAATAAATGATATACACTACCTATATTTCTAGTCTACAAAGTTTTAACTTATTTTTAAAGCATTTAAAGCACACTTTGAAAGAAAATTCTGATACAACTAGGGGAAATGAATGGATTTTAATATACTTGTTCAAGTTCACTGAAGCAGTACTAAAATTTATATTTAAGGGTATTTTTAATGTATAACTTCTACAAACTTATAATGCACATGATTTGGATAACACCTCTCCAATCCAGTTCTAGGAATTTGAGTCCTCCATAAAACAAACACTTATTACCGATTCACACTTGTCTTGCTTGTGATGAAGAGTATGCAAAATCTAAGTGTGGACGAGCCCCTGGGCCTGTGCCCATAATGCCCATAGGTTAATCCGGCCCTGTCCATCACTACTGTGTGTCTAACTTAAGGATGGGTAGATGGTTGTGGTAGATAAAAGTGTTCATGTGTTCTCTGATTACATGTTTCAAAAAAATGTGTGGCTGAGGTTTTATCATACAATATTTATCCTGTTGATTTTGAATCTTGCACCTGACAAATATCCTCATTTAGGAAAAAAAAAAAAAAACTGAAACTAATAAAAACTAAACTAAAACTAAGACGTTTTTAAAATATAGAAACTAATAAAAACTAAGAAATCTGCCTCTATAACTTAATTAAAATGAACTGAATTTGAAAATAAAAAGTCAAAACGAAATTACAAATTTATTAATTAAAACTCCAAAACTATTATACCCTTGATAAAGACGCAGAAAATGCAACAATGTATCATTTATTGGTCCGAACCAAACGAATCGAACTACAGATGTGAAAGTACCCTTAGTCTATAGCAAGGCTTTATTAGTGTCGGAAAATGCCGGATACAGCAACTCAATTTACCAATGCCCCTCCTCAACCACCCTCCTCCACCGTCTGCTGTTCACTTTCACTTCCGCAACTCCCCAACCCTCTTCACTTTCGTCCATGACAACCAATTTAAACCTTGGTCTGGACCACCTTAAGATTTTTTGAATACCTTTTAAGGGCTTTATTTTTCTTTATACTGATTTACCATCTTTAAACAGACCCTGTGGACACCTTGTAATTATACTAGCTAGTTATACTAGCTGATGGCCTAAATGTGTGGAATATCGCTTTAGCCGTGCCCTGGAAACACAGTAATAAGTGATGCATTTCTGAATGATGACTCATATTTTACTGACCTGTAACAATCCCATAATTGGGCGCTTCCAGAATCGCTCCATAAAACTTGATAATGTTCCGATGACTGAGAACGCTCAAAATCTCAGCCTGGAAATGCAGCAAACACACACAAAATACACTTTCAGAAAGAGCAAATACTCATTTACACATTCAACATTTCATATTTGACGCTAAATTATTATTTTTTGATCAAACAAACATTCAAAAACTCAATTAATTTAACTGTGATTTATTTATTTTTGACAGAGCACCAATAATATGAAGCAAATTGGATTCATTTAATCTTTTAAAAATCAGTAGTTAGATTTATCCATATTTGAGCCAAAATTTGACCCACATATTTTTTGATATGACCCACATAAAATATTTCACATCAGTAGTTGAATCTGTCCAAATTCGACCACAAAAGTTGGCAATTTTAACACATAAAAATACTTTTTAAAATTAATTTAACAATCATTTGTTTTGGAAGATTTAAAATATTTTAAAATGTTAAATCAATATTTGTGTTTGTCCAAGTTTGACCCAAAATTCAATGTTTCTTAACATGCGAACATTCAAAAATTTAATTAATTTAACTGTGATTTATTTATTTATTTTCATTATTTATTTATTTATTTTTTTAGGGGTTTTCACCTTTATTTATAGGACAGAGGAGATTGACAGACAGGAAAGTGTGGGGAGCAGAGATAGAGAAAGGATCGGCAAAGGACCTCGAGTCGGGAATCGAACTCGGGTCGCCGTGAGCACCTGGGTGTTGTGTCGACGCACTAAACAGACTATTGTCGCCGGCAGTTTATTTATTTTTTGATAGAGCTCCATTAATATGAAGTAAATTTAGATTAATTTAATCTTTTAAAATGTTAAATCAGTAGTTAGATTTATTCATATTTGACCCAAAATTTGACCCACATTCTTTTTGAGCACATGAACAAACATTGTTTCAAATCAGTAGTTCAGTTTGTCCATATTCAACCTCAAAATTTCACCATTTTAACACATAAACATGCTATTTTTTTTAAATCAATTTTACAATAATGTGTTTTGGAAGAGTTAAAATGTTAATTCAATAGTTGTGTTTGTCCATATTTGACGCAAAATGTAATGTTTTTTAACGTACGAACCTTCAAAATTTCAATTATTTTAACAAGGATTATTTATTTTTTTGATAGAGTTCCACTG